GATGTTTTCCAGTAAACAGTAAAATCAACCTGACTTCATGGCCCAGAGGACAGGATTCCACAAGCTTAGATTCTATGGAAGATTCTAAAAACAATGCAGAGTTTGAGAAGATCACCTTATCACAGAAATGGAGATAAAACAGAATTCTCATTTTTACTTTAATTTTACCTTCTCACCAGAATTACCAGCTCTGATCCTGACGGTGATTGCATAGTTGTTAATCACTGGGCTTTTCCTGTAAGTGAGCAAGATCCCTTAAAATTTGCCTAAAGGGCTGGGGATGTGGCTCAAGTGGTAGCGCTCGCCTGGCATGTGTGCGGCCTGGGTTCAATCCTCAGCACCACATACAAACAAAGGTGTGTGTCTGTCGAGAACTAAAATAAATAAATAAATAAATATTTTAAAAAATTCTCTTTCTCACTCTCTCTCACTCTTTCTTTAAAAAGAAAAAAAAATTGCCTAAAAACCAAATTATCTCATTTCCCCCAATAAATTAGGTAATAATATTATAATCTTTTCTAATGTAAATACCTATTTCTGTTGCTGGTTTAAATTACTCCATCCAGGTTTTTTGAGGGGTTTCTGTCTGTCTGTTTGTTTGTTTTAGTAGCTGTATATTTGGTTTCCAGCTCAGCTTCTAGGTGGAACTTTATTCTGGGCAAATGAAATTTTACCAAGCTAGAAAATACCAAGAACATTCTCTATTGTTAACTAACTTGTCCAGGAAGCATTTTCTTGTCAGTGTTAAAGCTGCACCAGCCTTTAACAAGCACAAGTCAAAGTTGTGACACTAGTTTCTTATTATTGAAGAGGTCTGCTTTGTCTTCAGGGAAATCAGGGGCCCTGTGTTTTTAGGGAGGGCTAATTGAAGACTGGGATTCTTTGTTATTCTAAAATAACTATTGAGTGTGAATTGAAAAAGAAAATGAAGAAGCCTGAAGACCAGCTGGAAAAGTTCAAAAGGGGTCTTTTCATCAAAACCTTAATGACTTTAGTGTCAAGGTTTGAGGACAAAGCATTTGGGAGTGTGGTTATCAGCTGTCAGGCACCTGTTGTGTGGATTTATGGTACAAGCTATGGACTTTGATTCCAATGAGACTATCTCCTCCAGCATCATAGATGACAAATTCTATTTTAGAAAGGCAGCTAATCACATGCAAGTAAAAAATTGTCAGGTTTTAAAGTTACTCAATTCCGTCTACAATTTCACATGCAGTAGCTGTAGCTATTCACTATTCCCATTTATTGCAGTTTTATGAGGCACTTGAGAGGTGTATAATAAATGAGTAAATAAGATGACCTTCCACTCTTTAGGCGAACTACAGAGTTAAATTAGGCAAGATCACAGTTTCAGTAAAGGGAGTTAAAATGAGCTACAGCTCAGTTCCTCAAATCCTGTATCACTCTAGCATCAAAAGTGAGTACTGGGATTTTACAAATTCCTGTGATTCAGAAGAGTTTTGTCATGTTTACCTCTATTCAGAGTTAAGGTTTATAGACAGAATTTTATTTTCTCTAGTTAAACATCTATTTTAAAATCCCAGTTTTAGAGTGGAATTTAAGTTGATATAATATTTAACTTGGGGCATCTCATTGTCTTACAGGGCAAAGTTTCTTGATACTGTTTCTGAATTTCATTTCTAATGAGATCTCAAAGTGGTGGGTGGACATGTGAAATATTGGCAGATTTGTTCAACTGTGTGTCATATAAAACCTTGGATTAACCAGCATTTGGGCTCCTTCCTTCAATTCTGTATTTTATCTAAACTTGTGGGCCTTTGGGGAATATTTGAGTTTTAAACAGTAGCTATGGTTACTGTGAACTGTATCCCCCACCCCACTTTGCTGTGGAACACTAGAATTTACTCCTACCACCTCACTGTGTTTGGGTAACCCTTATCCAACTTCTTTCCATTCCCAGTTCCCTCCACCCTTCTCAGCCTCTAGTGAGGGCATTTAAAAGAATCTCTTTTTTTTAATGTTAAGGGAGATGCAAATGCTTACTACTCTGATTTGATCATTGCGCATTGGGTGTATGTATCTAATTATCACACGGTGCCCCGCAAACAGGTACAATCAATAGTTTTTAGAAAGGAAGTGATGGGATGTGCAGCTGTAGGTGTTAGGATGGATAAGGAATGGCTTGGGATAGCTTGACAAGAAGTTTGGAATAAAATCTGGGCTCACCGGAACCACAATCAAAATGGACAAAAATGTAGCCTAAAGTTGTTCTCATATGATAATTTGTTTAGAAATCAGACCTGTTTTTAATAGAAGGGAGATCAGTAGAGTAGAACAAGTGGATCGGAGGAGGAGAGGAGGGAAAGGGAAGGAAACTGAGCAATGAGATTGATCAAATTATGTGCGTGTGTAAATATGGCATAATGAATTCCACCGTTAAATGTAATTAAAATGCACCAATAAAAAAATAAATCAAACTGTCTTTGCCTTCACTTAATTGATGAAGCGTTGACAGTTGTCAAAGAATGGTCACTTTCTATTTCTGTCATGAATTAGTACAGTCAGTAAATTAGGACAATCAAAGCATATGAAAGATAATGATTCAGAGCACGATTATGCAGAATCAATAATACACGAGCAGCTATTGAATTCCAGAGGTTCAGGAGACTTCAGGAAGTTGCTGGGGAAAGAGGGATTTCAAGAGTAGAACTTTGCCAAAGTATATCTTTGGGGCAGGAGAACAAGGTGTCAGAGGAGTAAGGGTAGCACAGTCTGAGCACTGCCAGGATCTTGGTCTGAACACAGACTGAGCAGCTTCAAAAGTAATGATCGGGATAGATCAGGCTGAACCTGGAAATCCACAGACAGGGTTGACTTGATGAGTGCAGCAGCTGTAGGGAAATGGGGCTAAGGAGAAAGCAGCACAGGTGGGCTTGGGGAAGATGAAGAGTCTAGCCGTGGGGGTGCAGGATGGATTTGCACATGCATTGGGGCAGGGCGAAGTAGGCTGACATTTGTTGAAGGATTCCATCTCTGGACCACATGGTGCTGTATGTGTATGGGTTATCTCACTTGATCCTTGAAGTAATCACAGGAACAGATGGTCTTGATGCTGTGAGTGTAGCTACCTAAAATATGGCATTACACATGGGAAACTGCTTGGTGCTTTAAATGGGAGGGATTGTGGACATATCCATTTTTTACTTAATTTTTTTAAATATAAATTGATTTCTGACCAGGAATTTTTTTTGTCAACTTAAGAAGGAAACTCATTCATATTTTGTGAACTTGTTATGCCAAACATTTCCTGGTCCCTGGGTACTCCCAGCTCTGCAGAGGAAAAGCTGTGGATGAGAAGACTTAGAATTCAAGGGCTACTTCATTTCTTATCTGTTGCCTACTTTGGGGCAACTTTCTTCTCTGGACCTCAGTCTCTTCATCTGGAGAGTCAAATGATATTGCTGCTAACTACCACCTGTAATTATTTCAAGTACACACACGATGCATTGTTTGAAGTGTTTCAACAAGAATCTTTTATTTTTTTTGTTCAGTGTGCAAATAACATTTTATTGATTTGATGTATCACAATATAGTTAATCTTATTTTTCGGGTTTGGGGCTATTGTAGAAAATATGGCAATGAATGATTCCTCACAAACACATTTTTACTTCTCCCATACAAGAACTTACAAGATGGAGTGATATGAACATGGTTTTTCTTCTTGTATGCATTGTCATATAGCTATCTTAAAAGGTTTGTGCTCACTTGCAAGTCAAACAAAAATAAACAGGAAAACCCATTTTCCTACATAATCTCAGCTGGACTAGGTTTTTATTCTTTAGTATGTGTTAATTGGTAACTCAACGTCACTGTAATTTTTATTTTTGAAAAAAATTCTAGAAGAAACAACATATTTGTTCACTCATTTCCCACTATGTAGATTTTTTTTCACCAGTCTATTAAAGATTTTTTTCCCCATCTCATTTAGTTTTCTTTACTATAGCTCTCTTTATGTGAACTAAGAAAAGAAACTAGAATCGAAATTGTGCCTCTAGCCATGTTTATTATTTGGGCTTTTTCCCCCTACTCTTTTCCAGAAAGACTTAAAAGGAATTACTGATGCTTTTGTTTATAAACCTCACTTTACTCTGAAATAATTGGCAGAGATCAAAAGGAGTTTAGGGATAGGTGCAGAGTGATCAGCTGATAAACATTTTTCCTTTCATTTACCCAACGTAGTAGCTTTCACAATAGAAAGATCACACGCAAAGGTTATTTTCTCCTGATAGGCAGCCAGCTTCGTGTTGGTGGGAAGGTGGGAGGAGAAACCTTTATCTTCAGAGAGGAATGGAAGTCAATGAAAAGAGTTGTCTGTTTGCTCTGAGGAATGGAGGGGAATCTAGTGGAGAGGGGCGGGCGGGGAAGGGATATTTGTTTTTCCTTAAGTGGTTATAATGAAAGCCTTCCACCCAATTGCTCGGTGAACCAGAAAAAGGTATTTGTGAAGTTGTGTTTTTAAGAACATCACAAAGGAGCCTTGAGGACCTCTCCGTAGAAAAGCTTGCTCTTCAGCGACACCTTGTGGAAGGTGCATCATCCTGCAATGTAGATATTCGGTTTTAGGATTGAGCTAAATTGCCTCTATTAGTTGAGTGCTTCTTCACCCTTACCAATTTCCCCCCCTGAAAGAGGATGGCATTTTTGAACAATTAAGTCAGCTGTTTTGTGTCTGTGTAGTAACCACTGAACAGTAAGCTGTATTTCATGTCGATTTCGAGAGTTGTGTATCAAACCATGCAGCTGTATGGATTCTTCAAGTTGCATGCTGGAAAATTTTTTTTTTTTTAAACATCAGAAATTTATTAGTTTCTCAAAACATTACATTGATCTTGACATATCATATATCATATACATTTGTTTCAAATAGGGTATGAATTCTTATTATTCCCACGTGTATAGATTGCAGGAGCATGCTGGAAATTTTAAGGTCACTCTTTCAAGAAAGTATTAATGAAGGGTTTTAAATTTTTATTTTCCAGGTGGAAACAAGTTAACCAATCAGCATTTTCGTCTGAATTGGGCATGGATCTCCTTCGAAAAGGAATATAACCTGATCAATGAGGACTCCAAATTTCTCGATGTTGTTCTTAAACGTAGAGGTTACTTGGGAGAAACTTCATTTATAAGTAAGTTTAATTTGCATTTCTGTCTCAAAATCCCATTATTCTAGCAGCAGTTTATAACTTCCCTCCAGTTCACTTCTCTAGTTTAAACATTCAGGGAGACATTGGCATTTCTTTAACTGGTTCAAACAAACAAACAAACTGCAGATTTGTGTCAAGGGATGTACTTCTTCAAGCCGTCAACCTAAATGTGTTTTTTTTTTCTGATATAAAATAACTTTATAAAATAGGAAGTAATCACTCATGAATTAACAACTAAAAACAAATGTCACTAGGTCTTAGAATAAGCTTAGGCTTATTCTAAATTGAAACAACAGTGTAAAACACTAATAAATAAGCAAAAAATCTATTCAGTGATTTATTAAGCATGAAAGTGTAGTTTACTATTTATTTGTTGAATTCGAATGCTCCAACTGATCACTAAAAGTTCTATGAATATCATCAATGTGTTACATAAAAGTTTATGTTGTGATTTTCCTTGGTAACAAATATTAAAGTGTTAATTATTACTCACTTTCTTCTGCTTTATTTTCTTTTAGTGAAACTGAAAGTCAAAAGCAAATGAGTATAACTTTTTCAACTCTAATTCAAGTTCAAATTCATTCATGCATAAAATAAGGAAAAGTAGATATACTGGTGACTTGAAGCTATGATATAGTGGCACAAAATATTTGATAATGTTTATGAAAATTGGCAGCACCTTAACAATTGTATTATTTTGGGTACTATGTAGTTTATTGACATTTAGGTTGATAGAATTTACATGGTAAAAGCTTTTCATTAAGTTAAGACTATCAACTAAGGAATCTAGGGAAGTATTAGCTAAATAAAAGGGTAGTAACCCTGTTTGTCTTCAGAATGGTTATTTTGAAATTTTACTGGCCCATGAACCTTTAAGTAGTACTCAGTCCTTATCAACAGAAAACCACCCCCTCATACCACCACACCTTTGCCTGGCCGCAACCTCCTGCCCTCCTCATGATTTCCCCTGATGTGTTTTAATACTGGATATTAATTGCTGCTTACTTTAAAAATATTTCTTTTTTTAACTTTAGAAAAGGGTTTTCATACTCTGTGGATTTCTTGAGGCTGGCTTCTGGGGGGCGGGGGGGGGGTTGGCACCTGCAGATGTTGGGGCAGCTGTGCTTCCTTCTTTGTTTGCATGTGCTCCCACACGGCTGTCCTTTAAACTCTGTGTGGAACCTTCTAGGGTGTAATGAGTGCTCTTATTGCTCTCCCTTTGGGGGCATGTTCTGTCTGCACACACAGGCCCTGCAGAACCTGTCGTACCTGTTGCAGTGAGAGGTTAATCTGTAGGGGAGTTGGGGGGCGGGAAGGTGGTACTGGGGATTGAACCAGGGGTACTTTACCACTGAGCCACATCCCCAGCCCTTTTTACTTTTTGAGATGGGGTCTGGCTAGGTTGCAGAGGCTAGCCTCAAAACCTGCAGTCCTTCTGCATCAACCCTCACCTGCCCGCACCCTATTGCTGAGATTACAGGCCTGTGCCACTGCACCTGGCAGAGATTAATCTTAACTGTGCTACATGTTAAGAATATAGCAAATAAATTGTTCAGAAAAGTCACTAAAAAACAGTACCTTAGCAACAGAGCACCTTAGCAATTATTAAGGATATCTGGGTAGCATTTGTTTCCACTCCTCGAAAATTTATTTGCTCACAACTGGCCTGTGGATAAAAGTGAGAAGTTAATAGTTGGAAAAGATTTTAAAATTGTCCTTTTGGATTTTTTTCCTCCACTGCCTGTTGTTTGTTTGTTTTCCACTTAAGCCCAATGCTAAAATATTTTAAAAGAGCTGTTTTCCAAGTTATTTTCTTTTGTTTCAACGAACTATTATTTCCCTACAAATTAATGGTGGCACTGGTGATTCTACAAAAGCTCTAAAGCGTTACTTGGTTAACCTCAGATGATGACTTAGTAAACTGCAGTAATAGTTAGAAAATTCTGTGTGCAACCCACCTCTTCCATCAATGAAAATGGCACAGCGTTCTTGCTAGGGCCTGGAATGAAAGTCAGATTACCCATTAAGTCCAAGTTTCTTTGTTTTAATGAAATTGACACAGGTTCATTAAAATAGTTTGGAAGTCATAATCTAGAGCTTATATATATATATATATATATATATATATATATATAATATTAATTAGATTCTAATTACATTATTATGTAATTATGCTACATATCATAAAATTATATTGTATGTTACATACTATATTTAAGTGTTTAGAGGTGTTCCATGTCTGGAATGATGGGACAAAGCAGGATAAACTGAACTTCTGTCTGGTAGGTCTCTGCACTGAGAATATTCCATGTAGCCGTCCCCACACAACTTCCACTGTCACTAACGGACTTTTAGAAAGAGCTAGATTGCACGATAGCTAAAAACAAAATATCACTTGAACAGTGAGTCATGAGTTATTTGTAGATGTATTTCTCAAAGCTGATCATTCACTTTATAACTGTTATAATCTACTAATAAACTAAATGTGTATTTGTATTTCACAGTAGTCTTTGTATCTCAAAGATCTTATTGCTACTATTATCAAACATTCACCAAAGGCAAAATACTTTATCATAAACATGAAGCACTTTATGTCTCTCTCTTAGTCCACAGCAACCCTTTACTCACTAGCTCAACTAATATTTCCTAGAGTGCTCATTACATGCCAGGTGCTGTGTTAGGTAATGGCCTTTGAAGTGCTAATGATAGCTAACATTTACTGAATTCTTCTTATGTGCCAGGCCTCATTCCCAACACCTTCCATAGTTCACCCCGCCAGAAGAGTGCCATTATATCCCTCATTTTACAGATGAGAAACAGAGAGGTTAAGATATGCCCAAAGTTATACACTTAATAAGAGACAAAGCTGAGATTTGGCTCCAAGGCCCACACCCTTAACCACAGAATCATGGGTTTCTTATATTGGAGAGAAGGCAGTAAGTCATCTACAATCCCATGTCTATATACTGATTTGAGACACAAAATCTTTTTTTTTCACTCCAAAAGTACTTGGGTATTTTTCCCTGTAAGATAAAAAGATGCAATTGTGGTTTCATTTCATAAGCAAACTGAAAAATTATGGGTGTTTCAGTAGCAACATTTGGGATTTAATTCTTATTATTTGCCGGGTTGAAGGAGTTGACTCTTGTGTAGTAAAGATGACTAGTTGGCACTAGTTTCTATTCCCTGCATTACATGAATAACTTTTTGTTTTTCATGATCTTTTGAATCTCCAGGAAAAGAATGTATTGTTGATAAAAGAAAAATACAGCAAAATAGAACACAGGAGCTATCAGAGGCAGACTAGCAGATTTTTGGTGGTCATGCCACTAGGGATGGATGGGTCAGTGAGCAACATTCATTCTGGAATTTCACAGAGAATGGTTCCTTCTGCCATCCCGTTGGTGGTGGATTGCAGTGGATCCTAGAGGTGTTGACAACCACTCTGGGCATTAGGAACCAGAGAGCCAACAGGAAGTCTACAACATTGAGCAGTATGCATACTATTTTAGTTGCTATTTTGTGGCCCTTCTCCTGCCATTAAAAAAAATTATATTCCATCCATAACTGAAAAAGAAACACACAATGCAATCTTTATCTGTCAGTTATTTTTCTAAGACCTGTAAGACAAATGCTTTTGACAGAACCTGTATTTTGATCCTCATTTTAACAGCCAATAATATATTCAGATGAATAAATAAATATTCAAATTAATTTTGTTTGTGCTGAGAGCCAAGGGTTTTTTTCTGTTTTGTTCTCTGACACATACCCAGCATAGAGAACAAAGCCTAGCACATAGTAAGTACTCAATGAATATTTGAGGTTGAATGCTTCTTTTTTGGTACAGTTTCAATTCTACTTTTAAAAACAAAAGGAATTTTTTTTCCTAAAATGATAATTCTTTAATTAAAGGAAAACTGTTACAAATAAGTGATTTTCAGACTTTTAAATTTCACAATCACAATACTTTTTGTCCCCTCTTTAAATCTTCCTTACCAACTTCTCAGAAATTGTGTCAATGTTTAGAAAAAATATACTTGAAACTTATACTTGATTTGCCTGAGAGGTTCTGATTCAGTACTTAAGGGTATATAAGGTACTATTGTGATTTTACAACCTTTCTATGACATTGAATTTGTTCACTGCTTTTTTTACTATATCCTATGGTTTGAGTCCCTAGTATAGTAATGCTAAAGATCTTCTTGTGATTTAGATAGATAGAGGCTTGGTGATTCTTCGGCCTTCCCAGACAGCTGAAATTGACCTTGAGTGAACCATCCAATAAGCCAAGCATACTGCTCATAATAACTATATCTATTTAGCTCTTTGATACATAATTTCAAGGATGGGGTGTTCCACAACTAGAAACTGGAAAGGACCATAGTAAAAAACACTGAATTAGATTCCCTTAAGGGTTCCAGTTCCATTAAATGTTTAAGAAATATTATAATTTTTATTACCATTTGACCATGAATTAGATTTTCAAAGAGTTAGATTATCAAAGAATTAGAATTAGATTATCAAAGAATTCTTTGTCCCACAGAGTGTTTTTATTGACCTGTATTTTCTAGTTAGAATATGATTTTGTAAGAGTACAGATATTTTACAACATGAGTATGAATTTACTCAGTCTTGTTTTGTATGAAATTCTAATGCAAACTTAGCTCAAAGAGTATATTGCAAAACCATAACTGAGGCAAGAGTAGAACAGAATCATGAACTACCAACACATACAGAAGAACACTTTCATCTGCAGAGCCATACTCCATTTTAGAGAGTCAAGCAGGGTCTACTTTACTCTGCAGGACAGACATATGAATAGTTAACAAGGAAAGCCTTAACACAAATGAAAACAAAACTAAGAAAAGGATACTATGTTTCTGTGCAGGTATTGGCACAAGAGATGGGACGGCAGAAAAGGACAAGGACTTTAAAGGCAAAGCACAGAAGCAAGTGCAGTTCAACCCTGGCCAGACCAGGGCCACGTGGAGAGTGCGTATCCTGAGTGACGGGGAACATGAGCAATCCGAGACCTTCCAGGTGGTTCTCTCGGAGCCTGTGCTGGCTGCCCTGGAGTTCCCTGCAGTGACCACGGTAGAAATTGTTGACCCAGGAGATGGTAAGAACTTGTGTAATTGCTGGTGGGCTTATATGACAAAATACTTTATAAAGAAAGTTTAAAATTCAATATTTGCATCTTCTGTAGAAGGAATTTTCTGGATTAACAGTTTAATATTTCCAGATTCATTAATGGGAAGAGGGAAACCTTAGAGTAATTAAAGTAAGCTGCATTTTTTCGTTTAAGTAAATGAACTACACAGATTACCACATGTCCTTTCTGTTATTATGATTCTATCCTTTGGAACCAATATTACTCATCTCATTTTTCTTATTTATTTATAATTGTAGATGGACAGATTGCCTTTATTTTATTTATTTTCATGTGGGTGCTAAGGATAGAACCCGGTGGCTCACACCTCACACATGCTAGGCAAGTGCTGTGCTGCTGAGCTGAGCCCCAGCCCACTCATTTCCTTTTTCTTGAACTAATTCATCAGTTTTTGAGTCTTTTAGATGTCTTAAAATATCTTTCAAATGATTTAAGAGTTAGACCACTTGGAGATTGATTTTTGCTCCCAAGATTGCATTTAAACATTCAAGTTTCCTTCATTTATTCCACAGCCAAAATTTTTCATTTGGTTGTGGTTTCCATTCTTGTTACATAATATGCATCCCACCTACCTGACCCTCCCCCATCTGCAATGAACAGGGTCTTGAAACATTGCTCTTAATTTCTGATAGGTTATGTGTTCTTATCATTGCTCACTCTTGGCTAATGTTGGTAAAAGTGAACCTTAATTCTTCTGTGTGTAACTTGACCTTTTTCTTCCCCTTGCCAAACTTCCACAATCCTGGCTTGTTAGGCAGAAAAAAAAAGAAGAAAAAAAAGTTTGAATGGCTTTTTTGAGGGCTGGCATTTAGACAAACCTTGTAGAGACTTCTAAAGCTGAAATCCTGTCAGAAGCCAGACATGACTTTCTTTAAAGTGCCAGCCTACTTTACTTTGTCAGTCAGAACACTCTTAAACGTTCAGCAAAGATATAATCTGCTGAGTACATGAAATGGAGATGCATGTGGAAATCCCTGTGTTAAAAGGCTGAGCATAATTAACGAGAGTGGATAAGAACACAGGAGCTCTGACATGGTTTGTTTAACTAACATCTCTGCCTTTAGTCAAATATGAAGTCCAATTATGTTTATCATTTCCACTCAAGAACAGTTAGCATTTAATTACATTTAATTTTATCTGCATTATCTAGGGCTAAGACATTAAACTTTCTTCTAGTCCTGAGCTTTGGTATGTACTTCAATATTAAACCTTTTCTCTTTTAAACAGCCTGTGACAGCAATAATACATTTAAACTAATCCATTAGTTAAAGCTAAAGGCCATTTCTGGAGACTTCCTTTGCAAATTTGGTACAATTGCTATACTTTACTTTAAGGAATAGAACATTTTAAACCTATTTCTGCCTTCCTATTTATAAACCCAGAATGACACACTCTACCAGTGATATCTGAGTGGTTGCATATTAAAACACACATACACACACACACACACACACACACACACACACACACATAAACACAATCCCCTATATCATTTCTTCTTAGTATAGGATATATAAAATAAAAGTTTACCATAATTTTATTTATTTAATGATTATCTAAATTGTTTTGGAATTTTCTAGATCAAATGCAGCCCTTTTCATTTCAAACCATGATTATCTTTTCATAACTGACCAATGTTCCACAATGCCTGGTATGTTTCATGTCCTGTTGAAGACTATTGGTCTTCAGATTATAAGACTTTAATTTGATTCCAACTCTATTATTTCTAATTGTATGATCCTAAATCAGAGAGCTTTTATTCAGATTTAGTTTCCTAATGCACAGAACAAAACACACAATAATTCTCTTATTACAGCATTTCTATGAAAGATAAAACAGAATACAAATATTGTTATTCTTAAGATCATAAATCTAATATTAGATTTCATTTTAAGATATTAATAATATTTTTTTCAAACAGAGAATCACTTTCCCAACCTCTTCAAATTTTTTTTGCTGCTTATTATACTTTCTTTCCCAGCTTTTCAAAAGTAAATTAACTTGCCCTAGGAATCATTATGCTTATAAACTCTCTCTCTCTCTTCCCTCCATATATTCACTCTAGAATATACTACAAGATTTTTTTTCCATGCATTAAAAAATGATCCAGTTCATTCTCTTACTGGGAAATATAGCTGCACTATATCAAGAATGCAAAGACAATAGGATGAAAGTCTTACTCTCAAAGACCATAGAGCAGGTGGGAAAGAGAGCCCTACAAATAGGTGCTTCCAACAGAACATGACATTGCTGAACAGATTCTGGGCCAGGATTGTGGGGGGCAGAAGAGTTTAAGCAATTCCATTTCATTTTATGCTGGGAGCTACTTTTCCTTATTAGTTGATTCATATGAATACATGAAAGTGCATACTTTCTCACAATACTTTACTAACCAATAACTGGTTCAGATAATGGTAATGATTAAAATTCATCAAGCCCTTATTATTCACCAGATAGCAAGCTTAACACCTTATTATGCTCTTTCAATTAACCCCCTTTCCCTCACTCCGTTGCAGATGTGTGTTCCATTTTAGGCATTGTACTCCATGATTTTAGGAGACTTAATTTCACGTGTGCCAAGTTTTAAAGCATTTGTTCCCAAATTGTATAACAAAAACAAACTTTTAAACATAAATTCTATATACACACAACATATATATATAGCATATGCATATATTCATCTGGCTTTTTACATGCTCATAATTATACATTACAATTCTTTCTATCCATTTATATATTTTTAAATTATGTATTTACGATTTAGACCAAGATCCTAAATGACCATGTGTTTAATTCCATATTTCAGCATCCACATCTATTGGAAAAATAACAAACACCATTGAATGCTTATTTATTTATTTAATCTGAGGCAATACCCAGTGCTTACATGGATGGTTTATAATGTCTGTGCACCCCCCCCCCAGTTTGAAACCACAGCTCTATAAGCAATAGAGTTAATTCCCCTGTCAAAAGTGGCCCAGTCGTCAGGTATTCTGCAGCCTCTGTGCAGAAGCACAGCCTGTCTTGAGTGGCAGACACCAGCAAAAGTCTGCTGCAAGTGGCAGCCAATCACAGACCTGAGAGCTTTGGGAAGGCATGAACATGATGGAGCAAACTCTTAAGGCTGTGCTCACGGGTGCTACCTACTCCTGCCAATCCGAGAGGACCACCCAGGTGCAGTGCCACTTTTGGAAGGGCTTGGGAAGTCCACATTTTTGTCCAGCACAGACATATTTTTCATTTGAAAATGCAAGACTGAAAAAGGGTTTTTCTGATATTCTTTAAACTGCTATAGGAGCCCTGAAGAAAGAATATACCATTCTGCCATAATAATGAAAATCAACAACTTCCTAGACAAACGGATTCATTCATTTATTGAACATATAAATACATTCAAAATCCTCATAAATAAAGAGAAGAACTAAAATAAGGAAAGAACAGGTTGCTTACCCTCTCTTTGTAATACCTCTTTGTAATACCACAAATGGGGACATTTGTGGCCCCAGAGTTTGCACAAGTGGAAAATTAGCTATTTGTTGTCATGATTTTTACCTCACTCCTTGGTTCTTCTCTAGCCCATTACTGTCATTCCTTATTTCGGTTGGATCCCATCATCTCCTTCTTTTTTGTATGCATGTAGAAATTTCCAATTAGAAGGGGCTTTAAAGTTCATGGAACATTTACCACATTTTCTAAATGAGGACCTGAGAAATAGAGTTATCCTTTATTCTCTGCAGAAGTCAACCAGTTGCAGGCTGTTTGGTTTGGTTTTCTTTGGTATTAGCAGAAATGGGTGTGATTACACTCCATCTGGGGGAACAGAAATTCCACTGAATGGCAACTGAAAGATTGCCATTGAACGATCCTTTTGCCAATGGCAGATCCTCTCTGCCCTCACAAATCACAGCAGGAAGATACACCGGAATGACTTTTAGTCGTTTTTGAATGTGCCAAATTTTTTAAAAGCAGTGAACGCTCGGTGCTTTTATCCCTGTGCTACATTTCCCTTTCCTTCCTTGATCTATTATGGCAAATTTTTAGAAGATAATTTGTTCTATCATGTTTTTAGCCAAGTCTGATTGTTCCTTTTGTTTGTTTGTTTTTTCATTTGTAGAGTATAATTGAGCAAAAGGACAGCATGAACATTCTCTTTCAGATAGCTACAACTACTTTATTTGTGAGAACAAAAGTCTTTTTTTTTTTTTGCCTGAGTTGAAGCACAGTCAAGACCTAAAAATAAAAACAATGGTTACAAATCCAAATGTTCATTACAGTACAATCACATTGACTAATAATGAATGCATTCACTCAATTCTGCTTTATCTTTCAAAATAAAGAGTAATGAAACCATACTGAAAGTCTAAAAATTACACACTTTTATGATCAAAAAGACAAATCCAAGATGTTAATAATAGTGGAATACAAAAGTGGGGGTGTAGGGTTATGTACTAACTTTTCTACTCTTTTTTTAAACCTAAAACTACCAAAAACTAAATCATATTAAATTTTGTAAAAAGTTATTTGCAATCCTATACATAGGAATAACAATTGCTAATGTTTTAGAGCATGACTCTGTAGTCATTTTTGTTTGTTGACTGGTTGGTTTTTGTTCTTTGAGTGGTTTTTTTTTTTTTTTTGTACTGGTCTCTGCTTACTTTGCAAGAACTTTATATTTCTATAATTTAGCCCTTTGATTTTTCCCTCAATGAATATCTTCAGAAAGACAGCTATAGTTTCAATATAATGTGTGAGTGAGATTTACATATATACTTTTATATAATATCCATATGTCATATTCTCTTTATATACTAATATGTATGCTGTACTGCTGTACATATGATACTTTTATAACTTTGTATGTGTACAATTGCATGTCTATATAAAATTTCTGTGATGGTACTGGGGTATTTTTGGGTTTTGGGTTTTGGTATTTTGGGGTTTGGTTTTTT